TGGTCCAACTCCTGCGTGACGCGGCCGGGAGGGTCCCGCGCTGCCTGGTGCGGTGCCGGACCGATGCGCTCGACAGGTGGCGCTGTTGCCGGGGAGAACGAAAGCCTACCGTTGTCCCTGGTGGAACGACATCCGGGTATGGGAGTAAGAGAGAAACTAGGTATATGAGTGAGTAAGAGGAGGACTATGAGATGAATTGTATGGTGATTTGTATGACTGGGGGTTGAATGAGTGATTGAATGGCGGCTTGGTTGACAGCTTGAATGAAGCAAGTGGGTGAGGAAGTGCTATGGTGAGGATAAGCCTTATCTAGGTGAGCCTAAGGGAAATAGGAAAAGGAATGTCTGCCAGGTCTAAAGTATGGGGTGTCTAAGTGGTCAACCCGATAGGGTCATGAAGGGTTGAGTGGCTGAGTGGGGTCCTTTGTCCCATCGTCTCTTATAAGAGGAAGATTGAAGTCGAAAGCGGTTGGCCAAAATGCCAGAGGAGATGGCGGACGGTGGGAGGAGGCTTGTGACCCTCGACGACCTCATCGATGCCTTGGACAAGCGTGAGAGGGCGCCGAGCAATGTCCCAAAGGTCGAGACATTTCATTTCAAGGGAGATCGGGTATCTGATTGGTTGGATCTGACAGAGCAGGTGCTGGTGGGACTGTCAGATGAGGTCAAGCTCCAGCGGGTCCTGAGGTGCATCCTGCACAGTCACCATCGGGAAGTAAGTAAGGTTGTGGATGCCGCCGGTGGCAGTTGGACAAAGTTTGGGGACCTAATGCGAAGGAAGTACAGGCTGGGGGACGACCTGTTGACCATGGCCGACTTGGAGGCCATGAATAAGGAAGATTTCTCTACCATTGGGGCGTTCGTGCACGAGTTTAAAAAAAAGGCGAGGAAAATGCACGGGATTTCTGAGGAGGCACAGTGCGCCATATTTTTGGGACTGCTTATGGGCTCGGAGGCCACAAAGCTGACGAAGTATGGGGAAGGGAGTGAGAGACTCACCTGGGCAACCATTGACAAGGGAGTGGAAGAATGGAGCCTGGACCAAGTGGAGCAACACCAAATGAGGCTGCAAAGGCGCAAGAGGAAGGAAAGGGATGCTACTGCATCCGGGACCCCAGGGGTGAAGAGAATTGTCACGGACGTGTTGGCGATACTGGGGTATGATAACGAAGCGGAGATACAGAAAAGAGGGGTGCTAGTGGCCCAAGGCCGGGCGTCAGGGGCAGTGGATGAGGAGGCTGGGCAAGAAGACTACGGCGGAGGTGAGACAGGTTCCCAAGTCCTGACTAAGGCCCAGAGAAAGCAGCGCAATCTGCTACAGGGAGGGCAAGGGTCAAGGAAGGGGCAGGCTCCCCAAGCCATTGCTGCACCACCACCTGTCGCCGCGGCCGCGCCGGCGCCAGCAGGATCGTCGCACATGGGGCCGCCACCAGCTTGCGGACACTGGGTGCCGCATTGTAAGTCCGCGCCCTAGCTACCCAGCGGCCCAAGGACAGCCTGTGGCTCCACCGCCGCCCTCCCAACAGGCCTCGCAAGCTAGTGTGGCCGGGGGAGGGGGCCAAGGACAAGGCGCGCAGGGCAATGGGGGCCGGGGCCAAGGGGGTAGAGGAGGGGGCGGCCGGGGGCGAGGGGGAAATGGTGGAGGCCGTGGAGGAGGCTGGAATGGTCAAGGGGGTCACAACCGAGGTGGCCAAGGGTATGGTAGGCCCCGCTTCAACTGGCAGAACGCAACTTGTTGGCATTGTGGCGAGGTGGGTCACACCGTACGATTCTGCCAACAGCGGCGGGACGACGAGCTGGCAGGACTAATCTCCACCTGTATGGACGGGGACATATACGACCGATGGGGAGAGCACATCGATCCCAAGACTCCGGGAGGAATCAGGCAGGATGCCCTCAGGTGAGCGGCGGCAGGGCCGCCAACAGCCCCGACTATGTTTAGAGTATGGCAAGAAAGGGAGGATCCGGGTGTGAGGGTCGAAGAAATTGTGGATGAAAATGAAGAAGTGACTCAACGGCTAAGGGCAGGGACTATAAAGGAGGAGCCTATAGTCGTTGAGTCAGACGATGAGGCGCAGGAGGTGGTGAGAGAGTCAGCCTCGACCATCCTGGAAACGATGGAGGACCTGCTTGCAGAGGTCGGCAGGTATCAGGAACGACTAAGGGCGTTGTGCGAAGAGGCCCGGGAATGGGAAATGAGACTCCCTAAGGTGATGCTCTATGGGTCCGGTCCGGAGTCGTCATCAGGACCGCAAGGGTGTCCAAGCGTGGCGACGATCGGGGCAGGTCCTAGGTCAGGGATGACCTTCAGACCCCCTACGTCGCATGGGAGGGTACCACAGGCCGCGCAGAGTAGAGGCCAAAATAAGGCTACCGCTAGTCAAGGGCCCAGCCAGGCACCTGGTCGGGCGCCTCCTCGAAAGGACCCTGAGCCTGAGCGAAGGAAAGAGGTGGTAGAGGTTCAAGAAGAGGAGGATGAGGGTGATGACGAAGAGGATGAGAGGCTCCGCCAGGAAGAAGATCGGCGAGCTGAGCAGAGGGCCAAGAAGAGAGGGATTCAGGGAGGGGCGGAGCCGAGCCTGCACGATGGCGTGCCAAAAAGGAAGAAGTACGCGGTCCGGCTGGAGGAGGGCTTTGACGTGGAGCGAATGGTGGACAAGCTCTTGGAAGGCCACAATGATCTGATGAATTTAAAAGACATCCTGGCGTCAGCGCCAAGACTCCGTGGCGAGCTGAAGGGGCGGCTCTCGAGGAGGCTAATGCCAAACGTCCACCTGAGCTCAGTTCTGCCCAGGGAGATAGAGTGGACAGAGGCGGGCACCAGGATGGACTGGAAATGTGTGGCATGTGGGTTGGTGGATCTGAAGGTGAGATCGCAATGGTGGACACGGGCGCCGAGATGAATATCATCCGGGAGCGGGACGCGACTATGCTAGGGCTGGAGGTGGATCATTCGGACCATGGTGTACTGCATGGCGCCAACTGTAAGGCCATTTTCTGCGGCACCGCGTCTAATGTGATGGTGGAGATTGGGAGGGTAAGGGCGCGAACGTGCTTCTTCGTCATGCCCGATGTCGACCACCCTATCCTTCTAGGGAGGTCGTTCCTCTGCCGAACGGAGACCTTGGTCTTCAACAGGCATGAGGGGACGATGATCCTGACTCTATCCGATCTGGCCTGCGGGAATTACGAAATCATCAAGTGCCGGAACACAGAGCCCGGAAGTGGGAGGAACAGGCTCAACCTCGGCTCCTTTACCTTCGAGGAGTCTGAGCACGCGCGACGGAGACTCCGGGAGGAGCAGGAGGAGGAAGGAGCAGGCGAGGTGTTGTCCCCGAGCCTTAACGATGTAAATAAGGCAATGGAGGTGGTGGCGGCACATGATATGGCGGACCCTGAAGCTATAAAGGTATTAAGGGAGCAGGTCCTAGAGAGTCCTCAGGTGGGAGAAGTGGAACTGATCTATCGGCTTCCAGGAAGGAAAGGGGACCCTGCTATGGCCCAGGCCCGAACGACGAGTCGGCCTTTTTTAGGGGAGGGCTTAAGCAGGGCTCCCAAAGGCGGTACAAGACTATAGATAAGAAGTGCCGGCCAGTCCCCGTGCTTGTCACGGAGGACGAGGAAGCCTATTATGAGCGAGAGCGAGGGCTGATAAGACGTATGCGGGAGCACGCGCAAGCGGGGCCGTGCCGCATCAATGATGAGAATGAGGAGGGGCTGATAATTCGCGAGCCTGACTTTCTTTCGCCCCAGGAGAGGACCTTGATGGTAGGGACCATGAAGAGGAGGCATCGCGCGTATGCGTTTAATGATGATGAGTGTGGGAGGTTGGACGTGGATAAGATCCCAATGATACGAATCCATACCGTCCCACACGAGCCATGGAACCTGAGAGGCGCGTGATATCCGAATCCAGATAAGGAGAAGAAGGTGGTAGACTATCTGGACGGGAAGATGCGGACGTACTTGGCAGACTATTCCAGTGGACCGTATGCCTCCCGTTGGTTTTGTTTTATCAAGCCAAACGGAACGCTACGGTGGGTGCAGGATTTGCAACGAATGAATGCAGTGACGGTGCGGGACGCGGCAGGATTGCCGAACGCAGACGCCCTGTCAGAGTCATGCGCAGGGAGGCCTATAATCTCACTTATAGACCTTTATTCTGGGTATGACCAGTTTCCTGTGTACCCGCCGGATAGGCTGGTGACGGCGATGCATACGCCAAGGGGGCTGATCCACATGAACGTGGCCCCTCAGGGGTGGACTAATGCGGTGGCGATGGTGCAAAGGCACATGATTAGGGTTAGTCCACATATTACCCAGCCCTACATTGATGATCTGGCGGTCAAGGGTTCAAAGGAGAAGGAGGAAGACGAAGTGATGCCAGGAGTGAGGCGGTTTGTCTGGAAGCACGTCCAGGATATCGATCAGGTTTTGGGTCTGCTGGAAGGACACAACCTGATGGCGAGCGGCCCCAAGTCGAAGCATTGTATGAGGGAGGCCACGATTTTGGGCTTTGTCTGCAACGAGAAGGGGCGGAGGCCAGATGTGAAGAAAACGAATAAGTTCCTAGAGTGGTCAGTCCCCTTCCAGTCAATAATGGACGTGAGGAGCTTCCTTCGGACTTGTGGGTTTTGGAGGAGTTTTGTGAAGGACTTCGCCACCAAGACGGAGCATCTAAGGAAGTTGGTGCGTCAGAATCAGGAATGGGTCTGGGGCGAAGACCAAGAAAGGGTTGTGGAAAGGATGAAGGGAGAGTTCAAGGAAGGAGGTTTAGTGCTGGGAGCGCCAAATTATGAGGCTACGGAAGAAAAGTCATTCGTTGTCGAGACGGACACTGGGCCAACTAGGAGGGGTCCTGATTCAGGCAGATGCGGATGGGAAGTAGAGGTTGCTCAGATTTGAAAGTCGTACCCTCAATACGACTGAGAGGAACTACTCTCAGTTTAAAAAGGAGATGCTGGCAGTACTTCACTGCCTGAGGACCTTCCGGAACTATATCTTTGGCAGGAGACTCATCTTGAGGGTGGACCCTACTGCACTTGCGTGTTCCTTTAAAAGTTATACTCCATCTGACCCAACCATCGCGAGGTGGTTGACTTACATTTGGATGTTTAACTTTGAATTGGAGAGGATTCCAGAGGACAAAAATAGGGCAGATGGGTTGAGCCGTATCAACTGGGACGGGGCGAATCAAGAATCAATTGAAGATACCCCACCAGTCGACGGGTTCTTACACCAGGAGGAGGATGTCCGCCTCCACATAAATGAGTGGTCGTTGAGGGTGCGTAGCTGCGTCACGCATCCTATATGGCTAGCACCAAGGGGGTACGAGCGAAAGGAGGAGTTGGTCCTCAAGCCCTTCCGAGAAGAAGATCCGTGGGGGAGTAGGGAT